CCAGCGACGGTGCTTTTACGTGATATCGGCGCGGGCTTAGCTACCTGAAATTAGAGTAGTTGCACGATGAACGGGCAGTTGGCTGAAGCAAAACAGTCAAGTTGTACTGTAGAAATCTGTTCTTTGGAAGGCATAAGGCAAAGCTCTGAAGGATATTATCCAGCCAGGAGTCGATGTCTGTAGGGCACATCAGAAGAGCGTCTTCCAATTCCCAAGTGGCCGTATGGAACAGAAAACGTTAACTGTTGTTGCCTGGGATATATCCTAATTTCCAGTAGATAAGCCCTAGCCGAGGATGTCTGCTTGGTACACCTTCCCACTAATTGTTATGCTCTTGTCGATAGGAACCTATGAAGGCTTCCTTCGAAGGACTGATACAGCCCCAATCCCACCCCCATCAAACGTTCAAGGAAAGAAATCTTTATTATTGTCCTATTACGAACGTACCTAAGAGCGGGCTAAAATTTGGAAGTTGAGTAAGAGTTTTCTTAGCCTCTTAGACGCTTAACTTTTTTTCTGTGTAATCATCGAACCTCCTAGTCGCTCCTTGAAAAAACCTGTAACTTCCTATAAAGATTTTTCCTTCTGTTCATGCATGGCCTAAATACCTTGAAAATGTCCGTTTGATAGATGATACCCTCCGATTCCATTCAATTTCACTATTATGTGCACAGGGGCGGAAGTGGTGTAGTGGCAAGTGGCACGCTTACCACGCGAGCGGTCCGGGGATCAAATCCTGTCGCCAACCAAGCCTTCCATCCCTCCGGGGTCGGTTAATTGGTACCAGACTTGTCTGGGAGGATAAAAACACTGACTTGTACATCGGCTGGCCCCCGCAAGTGTATAGGCCACATCGCATTCAAACGCCACTACGAATGTACAAATGGAAGTAGAATGCGTGCCGCATCCCAAAAAGGGATTGATCAACGGCAAATGCTTTATCCTTTTTATCCTTTAATAAATATAGCTAAGAAGCTAAATACTTAGAAACTACTAAAACTACTTCCCTGACAGAAGAAAGCTTTCCAGGAAAATTTTGCATATGTTGTGAAGCACTCTTCATGTAGACTTCACACTTTTTACCGTTTCTCATTATATGAATTTTGAAGGAAATTATGGACGTTTGAAGATTGCAAAGTCGCGTTTCAGTTTGTAGCCATGTATCCTTATTCCTGCCGTAAACAAATTAAAATAAATGAAGAAATAAACCCAATTAATCCTTTCCGATGCTTGCAACGTCTACATCGCTCTGCTAGATATTCAGTTAGAGTCTCTTTTGTTGTTACGGCTCTGCCATTGGAACTATCTCGCTTTCATAACGACCAAACCGTTCCAATCATTTTTGACCCCCTCCCAAATCCCTCGCGTTCGGAAGTGTCTGTTTATTAGATCAGTTAGATGGTTGCACTTGCAAGACCTCGTCAAACCAGCTACATCGGTTTACGAATTGCAGAACGCGAGCGGAGGTGGGTGGCACTTGAGAGGCAGCCGCGGAACTCACCCAGTCACCCTCGCTCTTTCACGTGTCGCCTGCATGTCTCCAATCGAGGAAAGCACATGTGTTGAAGCCGGCCGTCTGAGGATCATAAACACACGCAGAGCAATTCCCACAATGACTTCTATTTCCAGCCACCACAGCCCTTTTTCTGCAAAAACAAATTGTTTTGAGAAGGAAACCCGCTAGACAATTAGTTCGTTAAGCATGCTAAAACGTTGTTTATAAACAAACCTAAAGAATCACTGGTAACTGGTCGACTATTTCTACAGACAGGCTTCGCGTCGAATAGTTAATAGAAAGAAATGAACTTTATTTACTAGTATTTTTGAGATGCGCCTTGTAATTTATTTGTAATTTATTCAGAATCGTGGCCGAATTTGTATGCGCACTGATATTAAACAAAGGTTAGAACCATATTTCTTAGTACATGAGCATTTTGACGGCAAGTCTTACCTCAACCCCTGTGGAGGTAGCGGGTGCAATGGCAGAGAGGAGAAGCGGTTTTCATGACGTCATTGGGCGCCATAGGTGGAAGGGCAAGGTTGGTCCCGATAAACCCTACAGCAGCACCCCTTCACTAATGACCCGACAATGACAGCCAAGGAAGACACTAAAACGCTCCCCTCTTCAGCACACTCACTGCCTCCAGTCAGCGTCTTGGTCGTCAAGTTGGAGGACCCATTGGCCCAGTGTATGTGGTCCCATTCCCTTGACTGTTACCTGGACAACCAACGCTTTAGGTTAAGAGGCTCGAAGGCCGTTCTCCAAACTGAGAAGGAGAACACAAATGTCTATGCAGGTACCACATCCTTCCACCCTCATTCGCACCTAAGCTATTTGGAAGCTTTCCAGAGTGTGACTGGTCTTGGTAAGATTTCTGAACATCCTTGAATCTTATGGAATTTTTTGCGAAAAAACACGCCAGTGGTTTTTAATAAAAAAATATTTTTCTGTAGTCTTGCCCTTTCTTTCAGCAGATCTACTTCTCGAGCATTACGCTACTGCAACTTCACCGTGGGGTAGTAGAACAGTAAGCAGTATCTCAGATCCCTCTTATTCCTTGAGCGCTTTTACCCATGCATATGTTTTTAGGGTAATACGACTTGTTGCAGGTGTGATTTCCCAGCAGACCACTCTTCGGCCTTTCTTGGCACTCTGGTAATATCCATAAAGGTGTCAATTTTCTGTTCCCCGTTGCCAAGGAATAGTCACTGAGCTCAGGTCCACAGTATGACTCAGTTGGACTGGAACAAATATAGGACGACTCTGCACTCTATTGTGACGAGCTCCTTGTCACTGAGCTATCTCTGTTGTTAATGTAACAAGTGATCTTAGGAGCCTTTATCCCACGTCCGCCCCTCTCCTTCGCCTGAACTATTTTATAGGCAACCTGTGGTTTTCCTCCACAAAGCAGACGAACCTGCCACAGCCTCTCTCCCACGGAGCTCCTGACTCTCAAGAGATATCAATGCCATTTCCTCAACTGGAAGCCAATGACACCTCTGCAACTCATCGGGCAGGCTCGCTACCTTATTCAGCCCCTCAGCCTTCTCATTCCATGATATTGAAGCAACATCTCCTTCGTCACAGCCAGTTCTTCCGAGATCCATCTTCAAAAAGCTGGTGCCTTGCAATTATTACAGTATCCCGAAATGTCACTTTACAGCATCCTGACTGATTCTCTAGCCTTGTGCTGCAAAAAACGGTGAAGGCTGCAAGGCTGCAGTCCCTGCAGCTTAGTGACGGCTCTGCGCTTGCACGAGTCGCTGTCCAAACAGAATTCGAAATCCGCTCGGCAGTGTGAATCCCACGTGCATAGCATCTGAGCGCCGTTTTTCGCCGTCATTCAACACCACTCCTTCGCTTGTGCTCTCTGCGGACTAGTCGAAAATACTCTCACATCTTTTTTAAACCAGCTGTGAGTACACTGACTTCTTTTCCAGAAGTAGACCCTCACGAATGCTTAACCCGCCATTTCCGAGAGTTCCACAATTAACCCATCAGGTGGTGATGTCTGGCGATGCAAGTAGGTGATCAAAGCGCCGTTCGACAATCCCCTCTGGGGCTGCACAGATAGCAAAAACATGTTATTTGTTGGTGGTTTGAGGAGAATGTGAGGACTCGTCTCCTCAGTGACGACATCTAGCAAAGGCAAAAAACAATCATGCCAACGTCTCTGCTTCATGAACCCGTAGTTTGGCTTCTTCGAGTCACGAAAGGTGAAGGATGAATGATGAGCTCTTGAGGAAGATAAAAGAGTAAATCATTAGGCGTTGCCGAGGCCCTTTTCAGAATGCTCCACACATTCTACCTCCGTTCTGAATCGAAATAGCAATTGATGGTGACATAGGCCATATCTGGCTATATACTATTTATCGCGGGAGCCTGCTAACATATGAGTCAGAGTTTTGGTCTTTCTATACGAGTTCGGTACCAATTGAATGATCCTGAAAAGATGGAAGGCCTGCTCAGCCTGGACGCGATTCACTTCGAGGTTTGATTGCCAAGCCGTGCGCGAGGCAGGTGGCGCCACATGCCACTCATCATCTCTGCCCATTTAGGAAGATACCAGTTCGACAATCGCGGTTTGTTCCAGGCTGAATCGTTGATTTGAAAGAGCTTTTCAAAGGTTTTTTCCTTTTTCTCATTTCCTTCCCGTTCCCTGGCATTCACCATAGCTGGAAACGAAGGCAGTTAAAGGCAGCGATTATGATACATAGCTTCCAGAGGAGTCTGCAAGGGACGTGGGGATGCTCACTTGTACGCCAATGGCGAGGGAAGCAGAGAACTCCGTCAAGAAAACGCGAAAAGAGGCCACTGTTTGGGCGTCGATCTTCGCTATAGGATGGGCAGCAAGACGGCAGTCGTATGGACGAGTTTACCGCAATGCATTTGATCGGCACCATGCCAATCCATGCACCAGT